ACCTACACCCAGGACATGTACCTACACCCAGGACATGAACCTACACCCAGGACATGAACCTACACCCAGGACATGCACCTACATGAAATGAAATAGAATACATTTGCTACACCACTTCAGAGATACATGTACATGTTATAGGATTGCAGCACTTTAGTGCCTCACAACACCAAGAAAGAGCTGCTTAAATAGTATTAATTATAAAAAAATAACTTGTAACTATTTAAATCTATTTATAGATTTTGGGGAACTGACTTCACTGTCTTAATATTAGCATTTATTACTTACCATGGCATCTAGATATGCACCTGTCCAAACAGTAGACTCAGTTATGTTAGCCTTTGGAGCTCTTGCCATTGGTCTACTTAATACTTGAATATATGGCTGACAAAAGAATTACAATAATATATTACCATTTTTTATATTAACACGGAATTCAGTTGAAAGACTGTGAGATGTTATTTTCTTAATAAACGCTATATCTATCTAGCACAACACCTGTAGCAAACATCTCACTTTTTTAAAATATCATCTCCTAGAGATGTATACTAATTTTTACGTGAGCTACCCCAAAATCATGAGTCTGTGTGAAAAAAAAACTTGTAAGCAGATTTTTAATTTTGCTAGGAAAGACTAGGCAGCGGTTTGTCATACATTACTAACTTGTAAGCAGATTTGGCTAGGAAAGACTAGGCAGCAGTTTGTCATACCTTACTAACTGAGCGGACAGCACCAACACTTTGAATACGAGAGAAGTAACCTATAGGATAAATAATAGGATTGAACATTGTAAGCAGAAACTCATATACTTATCATAAAATTGTCATTTGTACATTTACATTCAAATATTGACATGAACATAAAATCCCCAGAATGGGGGCTATTGACAAAAMAAYATGAAAAATGTCAATAGCTCCTGGATATGCCCACACTCCCCCTGTTGGGGCAAGACATTGATGKTTCATTACAGCATTAAACATTCAAAGTYGTGCRATTTCCTATACAATACAGTAGTTGTACCTCTGTTTTGTCGTGACATTTGAAGCATTGCTGTAGTACTTTCMGCTGGAGGTCCAACAGGAAATGTAAAAACACGTACCTGCACACAGCATTAGCATTCATTAAATGTATTTACACAAAAAAATAACAAAACAACAAAAATTAATGAGGATAGTCATGGTATATGGTGTTGGCCAAGAAAGAAATATTATAAAAAGTTTTGKAGATTAGGAAAATTTGATACATTTTCAAGTACACATTCATACCTGGCTTAAGTATGTTTAGGCAGTCACGGCTTTTGGAGTTGGAGTGTTAATGTTACAGTAGGTTTTTTAGTGATCTGTCTCAATGAAATGGTGTATTGATTATAAACAATTCTTACCTGTCTCTTTGGRTTATTTTTATCGAAATACTCTTTTAAATCAGCAGTTGTACCATCACTAAATATCATGATGGCTTGTTGACAATTGCTTGTATTTCCAGACTGAGTAAAGTAAAACACAATGKCAAAACAACACTAAGAAAAAAGGTACTTGGATATATATCTTTAAGGTGTCTTCCTACATTACAATTCCAAGCAATCGCCCCATGTAAGKGAATCCMRACCTATGGTGTATTCTGGGTTCCGATTCCGATCTAGTGCTGGATTCCGATTCCAATTGTCTGGTTTCCAGATTCCAAAAATTTTGGAGCACAGATTCTGTTAATATTMATATTATACTTCCTGAAAATTATAGTGGATATTTCTAGTATAATCAGGGAGATGTCCCTAGTATAACTGTATATATATAACTAGCATGAGAAACAAAATTTAAGGTAGTACAGTATATGACTGCATGTAGCTAGCTTCCTGATAAAGCAGGGATTCTGGCGTAATGCACTATAAAAGTTATTTAAAATTATGCGCTAAAATAAGCCAAAATTATGCAGTAACAAGAACGAAGAAGGGCAAAGCACATGGATTGATGATTGAAGTAGGTCATCCTTTTTCTGTTTCAACTATTTCATATCTGGATTCCAAAAAGGGTGGATTCCAGATTCCATTATAAACTGTATTCCTGATTCAGAGTGCTGGATTCTGAATTCCAAAACCTCAAATTTCGTGGATTCCCGATTACCTTACATGGGGCAAAAACATATAAACAACTTTTCAACTGCAGTATTTTTGACTTTGAAAAAGAGAGTTATCAATAGACAAAACAAAGTTATCAAAGAATGAAAAGCTTTAGATTTTTCGAAAATAATGTTTTGTCAGAGTTTCATCCTAATACACAAAGAAAAAGAAACTCAAATGGCTGTTGCTAGTGTGGCTTAGAATTCAAATATAGGAATGTACCTTGAGAGTTATCAATCCTTTCTAAAGAGCAGTCCAATCACGATTAACAAATAGCTTCATATACAAGTACATATACTGAAATACTGCTAATCAAAGAGGACACCAATGAACATACAGAACACTGTCTTTATTGAAACATTGTTCTTATTCCATGTCTTTATTACAGACCAAACACTTGAAAATACAAATGTACTTTCCCAAACATATTCAATTTCATTTGATTTTTAGGATATTACCTTTCTAGATGTATCCAGAAGCGAAAACGCCTTGTCAAGTCCAGTTTGCCAGTGTGCCATATTTTCTCCTTCAAGTTTGCTTTCAGGATCATCAATAATCTCCTTGGCTACCTTTAAAAAAAGAGCTCTGAATAAGGGCTGGTCAATGGATTGTACAGACAAATAGATGGACACTAGTAGATACAGATTTTATGTTCATGTGTTGAAAATGTCTTACGAGCGATAATAGTGATTTTCAACATTCTTAGTAAACAACAGATCTTTGAAAACAGATCAAATGTGAATTTTGCTAACAGAAACTTTTTTCTCTAGTCCTGCTACTGGAGGTTCTGCTTGAGCAGAGSACCATATACAAAAGAAAATGGTAAACCACATTAAGTCAATAGATTTTTCATGKAGCAACAAAGTTTCTGTCCTTCCATTTTTGTGTCAATAAATTA